CTCCCTGTGTGACCCAGCCAGGCCTGGAACTCACTGTGAATCCCAGGCTGGACTCAAAATTACGAGTACTGAGCTTACAGGCCTTCACCACCACATCTGGTCCCATTTTTCATTCTTAACCCCAACTTTTCTACCTTCCTTTCATTTCTGCACCAGGAAGGGAAAAACATCCTACTGAAAACTCTTAGATAAATAAACCAGCGCCAGAGGACTAGTTGTGTCAGGAATGACAGGGGCCTCCACCCCTGGAATCCAGGTGCTCCTCAGGCACCAGACCACATGACCACAGGCCTAGTGAAGGGACCATTCCTTCCTTCCGGAGTCAGGGGTGACATTCTGGGCAGCCCCAGAAGAGAAGCTGACCTGGACCTGAAGGAGAGACCAGGGATTCGCTTCGCGTAGAGGATGGACGAGGAGCCCGTGGCTGTAGAGATCCGGTCCTAACCCTGCGCCCAGCTTGTGACCTACACACCAAGTGACTCCTATACTCTGTGATTGACATGCCGAGTGACTCCGAACCTTTGTGTTTCTGACCTGGGCTTATCTCTCGAATCTTAGTGTTGTGCGTTTTCAGGCCAAGGACTGGGCACTGCGGCCCAGGCCTCAGGGTGGCCCTAACCAGAAGCGTTCTCGGTGGGCTGCACAAGACTATAACAGGTTAGGTACAAGTGTTGAGATGCAGGCCACATGGTAGGGAAAGAAAGACAAAGTGAGGTACGGTGAACTCTGCACACTGTTGTCACTGTTTCCACAACAAGGCACCTTCCTCTGAGGGGGCAGAGCCAGTCTCACACACACCTTGCTACCTCAAACTAGGTCCCCAGTGCATAGTAGCATGGTTAATCCATGAGTTAATAAAACTGAGTTATCCAATAAAAATGTTCTGCGAGTTACAATTCTTAATTTTTAGTAACCACTTTAAATTAAAAAGTGAAATTAATTTCAATAATACTTATTTCATTTAAGCTAATATATCCAAAATGTTATCATTGTTTGATATGTAATTAATATTTTAAATACTGATGACACCGTTCTATTAGTCATGTTACATGTTTGATACCTGGTGTGTATTTGACACTGAAGTACATGACTAGGAACATTTCAAGTGTTCAGTGATCTCATGGGGCTAGTGTCTTCCATATTGGCCAGTGCTGTTCTAAATTGTTTTTCTAGAGCATCGTACAAATGATTGCTTAAAAGTATGAAAAACTCCTCTGACCAGTGGGACAGTGCAGGATACCTGGAGGCTACCAGAACAGAAAGGAAAAGGAAAGTCATGTGGGGAGGGAATTGTCCATTCAGATACATTCCCACAGCTGTGACTAAAGTTCCTACTCACTACATGGAATAGAGGAAGCCTCTACTTTCCCTAAACCTACCTCACCTGTCCAACTCCAGAAGTGCTCGCCCTGCAATATCACTACAGAGTTGGGGGCGGGGAGTGAGTAGGTCTTTTTTTCTGTGTCTGTAATTATTATCTCTCCTTGTCATCCCACTGTTTAAAATTGTGTATTGTTAAGTATTTTTGTGTATTAGGCACCTTTCAAGGTTCCACCTCAGGGTGATGCTTTCACATACACCACAATCTCATTTAACTTTTGCAGCAACTCTGGATTAGGTATCTTACTCCCTTTTATTCCAATTGGAAAAGTAATGCTTAGAGAAGTGATTCTGATTTGTGGAGAGAGAATTTCATGGGAAGAAAAGAGATCATTTCTAATAAAATCCCATCCCTTTTTCTTCAGTGAAGACCCGTCGGAGATGTGGAAATGTTTTGAGATGGGACTTAGAAGACAGCAGTCAATGCAATAAAACATCCTGTTGTTACCTACCACCCAGGACAAGTCTTAGCATCTAACACCTGGGTCAGCCCCAGCCACTGATACTTCTTATGTAATGTTGGCAAGGCAAATTCACAGTGATAATAATAACTAGCATTTACTGTTCTCCCATGTGTCAAGCTCTGACATAGGCAATTGCTCATATACTTCCTTGTTGCTCACAAAAAACTAATTTATTTTATAAACTAGCAAGCTAAGGCTCAAAATGCAAATTTCCAAAAGTTATACATCCAGGAAGCAAGAAAACTAGATGAGGAAATATTAAATGGATTCATGCCTGTTTTGTAATGGAACTTCAACATACTCACCCACGATTGCATATTTACAAAGAATATGGCTAAAGAGTTTCAAGACCATCAGCATACACACTAGACAATAGATGTGCCTGTTACAAATATAAAAGTTTCTAAAGCATAGATAAATAGGGATTGGTTTCAGTGTGCTTTTTTTTTAAGAAGGATAAAGGTGCTAGTATTCACCTGCAATGTGTCCTAACATCAAATAACAACAACAAAACAAGTAGGGTCTCAAGAGGAAGAGGTGAACTTACACTGTTCAGCTTCCTGGGTTTTGTGATCATCCAAGGACAAGGAAGGTACAGGTACTGTGAAAGTATAAAGAGGTGGCAGATGTCAGATACTACAAACATGTTAAAAGCAAATTGCAGTTATATAGTAATATGAACTTATGAAAAATACATTTTCCAATCTTCAACACATCTGCAACCTGAAAAAGAGTAAAGAACTGACAATGTAACTAGAAGGAAATGGCATGAGAATGAAAATGAAAGAAAGATGAAGAAACAAAAATCTAATAGCTTTCTTCAAATAGAGTGGAGGGAGGGGGAGAGAAAAAGAAGAATGAATGGAGAGAAGGGAAAAAGGAGAAAGAAGAAATAGAGGAGAAAGAAAGCACATGCTGTTAAAAAAAAGTATGAACTGCTAGGGTCAGATAGTTTCTTTAGGAGAAAGAAACTGGTCACGACCCCCTTAGCACTGAGGTAGGGTACAGTTTGTGTGACTGTTTAGAGAAATGCAGTGCTCTCCCCACCATTAATCTTTTCTAAACAAAGACTTTGTTCTGCACCTGTATAAACAATCCAGATTTTAAAAATCTATATGCTTGCCCCTAATGTGTGAGACTATGTATTTATCCTGATAGCTTCAAGTCATCAGCAGGCAACTCAAAAAAGCTAGCCTGAGATCTCCCTGTTGCATCTTTTTCTCCTCTCTTATCTCTTTTCCAGCTTTTTGCCTGGCTAGGCATGTCTAAAAGTCAAGTTCAAGTGCTTCAAGAAAATTTTCCATGCTCTGTCAAATACTCCCACATTTTCCCAGTCCAAACAGACCTGAGAGCAAACTGCTATACTGTTTTACTAGAATTGTCCCAGAAAGCACCCAGGCCCCAGGCCCCAACCAAAGACAAAATGTACACAAAGAGAACTTTTGAAATGGGACTGAGCAGGAAGGGTTGTGTGAAATATTCCCCATGGGGGAGGCATGGCCTGGAAGTCAAGGTAGAATGATGCCTGAGTGATGAAGTCAGCCCTGGCCAGCCACCTGTTGTGGCACTTCAGGCACAGTGCCTGCTAAGCCCTGTTTTTGTTATGCTGTAAGGAGTAGGGTGGCCCAGAGACCTCTGCTTCTTTTGTCCTAGACTATGATACATGGGACTGCTTGCACCTTGCTCATCCTGGGAGCCTGAGGACTTTTAGGGAAAAAACAAGCTGGCTGTGAAAGCACGGTTTTCTCATTGTGGAAAGAAGTAATCATGATTGGCATTTAATTCCTCAGTTTGCTGCTCACTGTGCTTGGAGTCCAGTGACTGGCACGTAGTGTATTAGTTGGGGTCCACAACATTTATTGTTTGTTTTCTATTTCCAAAAGGTACTCATTCCCTGACCAGTATTACAATAGCCTTCAAGTTAGAAAATGATAAGAACCAGTAATTTTGTTTTGTTTTCTTTTTTTGGGGGGGGGAGCAATGTGTTTTATTTTTGGTTGAAATGGATCATGATAATTCTAGAGGCTGCTTTTTGGATTTTTACTTTGGGAGGACAATTGTGCTGCCTTACCATTTTGTATCCAGGAACTTGCTCTTCAATACATCTGAAATAGTAAAGGATTCCTGACACTATAACTCAACGTATTAGGTCGGGGTCCACAACATTTATTGTTTGTTTTCATTTTAAAAACGAAATCACCCAGGCAACTCTCAACAGATACAACAACTAGCGGCGTGTGATGGGTAGGCACGTAGCCAATGGAATAATACTAATGTGTCAGGATTCTAAACACTGATGTTTAAGTTCTTTTTATTTGCCAGCCCGGTGTGTCTGCAAAGTGAAGATACTAACATCTAGGGTGCAAATGTTGTTTGAAGATGGAACAAACCAGTGTAGATGGAAATGCTGTGAGAATCATCGAAGGAGAGGGGAGGAACATGAGAAGTAAGCACATGGTTGGTGTTGCTTGCTTGTTTTGCCTTTCCTCTTCTGTCGGACAAGCCTGGGATAAGCAGTCGTATATCGTAAGTAATGAACTTGAAAAACAGTTCTGTAGGAGAGAAGCATCAGTCAGCATCTCAGGGTCTCTGTATCTGGTAATCTTTGTTAACGCTAAAATCAGGTGAGGGTGGAAGTGAGTTGGGTAGGAACAATGTCTCTTCCTTTATTCCCCTAAAGTTCATTTATCTTGCACAGGTAGTTAGAGGGTCATTCGGACCCTGTGGCGCAAATCTGGGGTCCGTAGAGACTCTCCCTTCCCAGCCCCACCAAATGCTCCTCTGAACGGCAAAAAGCAATCCCCACCCCTTCCACGCCCCTGCCCAACCTCTTGCCCCCCTTCCCACCCCCTCCTCTTTGCCGAGGATAGTTTGATCCGAGGAGTATAGATAAATAGACCTGTCAAAAGGCGCAGCTCGTGGTTGTCGTGCGGAGCGTGGATCGCGCGTCAACTTCTGGGCCTCGCTCTCCCTGGTCATCAGTGAGCGCACTCCCTCTCACCGCCCACCTTGCTGTCGCGCCTCTGGGTTCCGGCCAAGTCTTCTGTCCTCTCAGCTCTCCCAGGCCCCCGCCTCCGCCAAGAAGTTGAAGGCGGAGACCGCGAGACTGGCCAGGGCGGAGGAAGGCGGGTGCGCGTGGGCGCGGGGGACGAGGCGATGTCCACGGGTTCGGTGAGTGACCCCGAAGAAATGGAGCTGCGGGGGCTGCAGCGGGTGTACCCGGTCCCCACTTCCAAGAGGTCGCCTCTCCGCGGCGCAGAGCGCAGCTACGCCTCGCCCAGTGACAATTCCTCTGCAGAGGAGGAGGACCCCGACGGCGAAGAAGAGCGGTGCGCCCTGGATGCAGTCCGCGACCCAGGAGGCTGCCAGAGGAAGCGGCCACGTGTGGCTGGGGACGGCGGCTCAGGTGGCGGTGCAGGCGGCAGTGGCAAAAAGCCCCTCCCGCCCAAGGGCTCGGCCGCTGAGTGCAAACAATCGCAGCGGAACGCGGCCAACGCCCGCGAGCGCGCCCGGATGCGCGTGCTAAGCAAAGCCTTCTCCAGGCTCAAGACCAGCCTGCCCTGGGTGCCCCCCGACACCAAGCTCTCCAAACTGGACACGCTGCGGCTGGCTTCCAGTTACATCGCGCACCTGCGGCAGCTGCTGCAGGAGGACCGCTACGAAAACGGCTACGTGCACCCGGTGAACCTGGTAGGGACGCTGCGCGGGAGGCCCGGGACAGCGGCCAGGAGGTGCCCAGAGCGCTCCCGGGTGCCGGGCAGAATTCGAAGGGGAGGTTTCTGGGATCGGTGATGGGGAAGTCAGTTTAGTTTCCCCCAAATCAAGAGAGGCGGGCGCCAGCCATTTTCCCGGAGGAGAATAAATCCTCCAGCCTCCTGTGTTTGCACCATGGTGATCGGGGTACATGCTGCGTCGCCCACTGACAGTCATTAGTTAATAACCTACTTCCGGGGTAAATCGTGGTGCCAAACTGACTTTTACGACCCGGTTACCCATGGAATGGCAATCTCACGCGCCCAACTTTTTCCAGCTGAGAACTTAGCAGGTTTGAATCTGCAAGCCCTACTTTCTTTAAAGAAGGAGGGTACACCGAGTCCTATAAAATGGCTTTTGGATTTTTTTTTAACTTGATGCGAGATAATAAGGTTTCCCCAGACGGGATTGTGTGGAAAGTCCCTCTCTGACCTGCCAACTCTCCGATCTTGGGAAAGATCACATCCAAGCCTATGGAAACCTCAGCTCTTCGAGAGAATGATTGCTGGGGGGTGGGGGGGAATTAAATGACAAAATCCCAAATTCACACAAGTCCACCCAATTACCATGGGGGCAAAGATCAGGGGCTAGGATGAAAGGACACCGCACGTTTCGCATAATCAAAATCCATCCAGTACGATTAAAAACTATAGAGTCGCAAATTTCCAGAACGAAAAAGCTGAGCTACTGAAAGCCAGGGGCATCTGGGGTTCACATAGGAGGCTGGTTTCAGTTTGAGACGGTCGTTTCTCCTCAATATCCTCTTTTTGATTTTACAGACGTGGCCGTTCGTGGTCTCAGGAAGACCCGACTCTGAGACCAAAGAAGTTCCCGCAGCCAACAGGTTATGTGGAACCACCGCTTAGATACGACTCCAACTCACTTGGTAGGATTATTTGTTAAACTCGAGTGTTTTGAGGTCAAGAAGAGAAGGGAGAGCGCGCGGGAATAAGGATGGGCACAAGGCTCCATTGGATTTCCTGGACCTCCCCCTCCCCTGGAACTGTGAACGCGACAGGTGGTGGGAGTGGCTGTCAACGTAGAGTGCCAAGACTAGAGCTGCTGCGGATCTGGATGACCAGGACTTGTGGCCAGAAACAGCCTCCCTTCGTGCGGAGAACGCGGACTAGCTCCAACCTGGGGCTTTAGCTCCGCAGACTAACCGCCGGGTGCCCCGCGGCAGTTTCCGAGCCCAGCCAGGTGTATCCTCTCAGTGGCGGCGGGATTCTGCACAGCCCCGGCCTTTCGCGGTTAAACCGCGGTTAGAGCGCGCGCTCCATGAGCCTGTGAGTCCTGGCGTGAGATCCACGTCCGAGCGTGTTTTTACGTCGCAAAGACAGCAGAGTGACACATCTGGGCCAGGTTCGTATGCCTCTGGGCAGCGCTTTCCCAGCCTGCGCGATGTTGCGGCTGGGCACCGGGCGAGGTGCACACTTGACTCCCTGGGGCCGGTGCTGCTGGGCGCCCTTCAGGCAGTTCAGCCCTCAATCCCTCCAGGCTTCGGTCCCCTTCCCAGGGTCCCCCTTCTCTATAATCCATATTCTGACCACTCGCTCCCCTTCTAGGCTCCAGCCTCCCCACACCCTGCGATCCCAATCTGGCTCGGGTTTCCCACCGGGCCTCTCTCTCCTCTGCACTCCCGCTGTCTCCTGCGGTCCCCCACCTCTGATTCCAGACTATCCCCCAAAGGCCTCACCCCTCCAAGACTTGCTGGGTCCTTCCCCGAGGCCAAGTCAGGAGGGTGTCCCATGGGCGGCTGGAGCTGTTCAGTGCCCATGACCAGTGTAATCGTGTTTGGGGCAATGAGCCGCAACCATGAGGCTGCACTACACAGTAATTAACATGTGTAAATAAATTTATTTTTTTATGAACAATAAAACGCATTGTGAAAACTGTGTGCCCCTGGGCGTGTCCGAATGTTGTTTTTTGTTGCCCTTTACTGAGCGGGTTTGGTCCGGAAATTAATTTAAAAGGACTAGACTGGACAGGGAGTTAGGTCATTGTCAGTGGTGTGGTGGTGATCACATTTCCAAATGTTATTCTTTTTAAATATAAGTTCTTATTAGCGTACATCCATAGTACAAAGGGTTTTCATTGTGATATTTCCATACATGCATATAATATGCTTTGATCAAATTTACTCCCTCGATTACTCTTCCTTACCCCCCCCTTTAAAAAATCTTAATGGGTTTCATTATTCTATTTTCACACATTCATATAAAATACTTCGATCATATTCACCCTCAAGCATACAAATGTCACTTACTAATCTCAATATTTCTGGTTTCTCTGGAGGTAGGGGTTCCTGGAACTCCAGAAATGGAAGCTTAAGAGGCCCCTAAGAGTCTTTCCAGGACAGGGCTGTCTTGACCAGCATGTGCTCCTGAGGCTAATACAGACAACACATGTCTCACGCACATGCAGGGGCTGAATCCCAGAACACACTCCAGCCCCTACAAGTCGTTCAAAAACCCCCAATGCCTACCCAGTTCTAACTGGCAGAATAAAACTAAAAGAAACCAATTTGTATTCAGCCGACTTTTCTTTTTTTCAAATATTTGCTGTTTTAACACACACTACCTCATTTTCTGTATTATTTTCTTCTGTCTTCACTGCAATAACTTGGAAAACCCATAATACAATTTTTTAAATGCTGGACTTTTAAAAAGCAACCTTCTTTTTTTGTAAAGCACTTAGAAAAATGTAAAAGATAAACTACCTAAACAGCTGCCAAAGTTGGGGCTCTGTCTGTTATTTTATAAAATCAGAAGGCATTTTTCTTGACCAGAGAGAGAAAACACAGCTGGATTTTAGTTAGGAGGTGAGAGCAGGTATTGGGAGTGTGACTTCCTGTTTTGAACAAAACCAAACCCAAACTCTGGAGTACTGGCTTCTGGGCCATTTTCTTGAGCTTGTGCTCATACCCTGGAGGGATCTGCCCTCAGGGTGGCCTGCTTTGGGTGGGAAGTTACAATGGACTCTCTGTGGCATCAAGGGCTTTCTGGCAAAAAGGAACCAGAGGTAACTGGTGGCAGGGAACCCTAGCAGGGTAAAAAACACTTCAACCATGAGTTCTGGGTAGCCGGCTTCTTGAGGGTGAAGTATCTGCTGGAGGCCAGATCTTAGACAATGTCAGCTCCACTGATTTCTACAGGCTAAACCACTTTCAGGGAAAGGAGGGGACCCACGATAACAGTTGAAGAGAACCAGAATGTCTTAAGTACCTGGCTTGACATCCAAGCTCTGCCACCCCACTAAGCTAGTGACCATGTGCAAGATAGTTAACTCCTCTCGCCTCAGTGTCCCATCTCTAACAGGAGTTAGTAACAGTGCCTATCTGGAAAGAATAAGTACCAGCACACATCTAAGCAAAAGTAATATGTGTGAGCAGAACACTAAGTGCTGGCTGCTAAAAGAAATCTAGAAAGAGAGGGAAACACTTAGGGTACACTTTCAGGAGTTCAATCTTTAAGACTGGGTAGAAAAACAAGCACAGTGGCTCACACCTATAATCTTAGCACTTGGAGGGCTGAGACAGGAAAATCAAGAGTTCAAGACCAAAAAGAATAAAGGAGAATGATAGAGGGAGTGAATTCAACTACGACATATTGTAAGAACTTTTGTAAATGTCACAATGTATCCCCAGCACAAGAACAATATGATAATAAAAAAACAAAACAAAACAAAAAAACAAATTCAAAGCCATTAAAAAAAAAAAAGAGTTCAAGGAGAGTCTGAGTTACATACCAAGATTCCATCTCAGAAAAAAAAAAAAAAAGATTGAGTCCAAATTTGAGATATGAGGATTATAACTATTAAAAAGAAGTGTCCCATAAGAAAAAAGAATAGTCATATTTATAATGAATTCAAGTACAAACATTTGAATAAACAAGGGGCAAGTTTTCATAAGTCAATGAATAATATTTAAAATGTTTGTTCTCTGACTTCAGGAGAAAACTCACTTCCCCCTCCCATTAAGGAGGTACAATTCACAACCTCGAATGCACAAAGTGCTGGTGAAATGTCCATGTCACTTTTATGGACATTTCATCATACTATAATATAGAGAGAACAAAATTTTTTCTCATTCTCTGCTTTTTTACTAGAAAAAAAGTCAATTTCTAGTAAGTCCAGTGACTTAACGTAAATTAATTGAACTGAGGCTTCCTGACAAAGGTTGATCCTGGAAGAGACTTAAGCATCTTCAAGCAGTCTTTTCTTTGTCATGACAGGCGTGTGCTCTCAGTGGTAGAAAAGCATCCTAAAGCCTTCCTCATTACCTCCCCTCACCATTTTCCTTTGAATTGGAGAAATGAGAGTTGGGGCTGTAAACTGGGGAGAGATGGGTCAGGGTTAAGAGGAAAGAACTCAAGCTCGGTATACAGCTGTGAGGGAAAAGATAAGGTGGGGGGGGGCAGTCTAAGCATACACAAGGCACTGAATAATAAACAAAATGAGTAAACTGAAAATTACTTTTCAGGGGGCCTTTTGAGGGGCCACAGCATCATTATTAGTGATACTGATTCAACCAAAGACAGCAAAAATCCCCTTCCACAGACTCTTCCTAAGATGACTATTTTAAAAGAAATGCTTTTTGGCCCTGTAATTTTGAAACATTTAGGCGTTTCTCTTGGTTGTGGATGTTGAATTGATTTCATGCATATTCGTTTATACTGGGCTTCAAGTTCAATTTCACTTTAGTGTGGTGGTTCCTTTAACAAATAGCAACAATGAAGCTTGCAATTTGAAGAGGAACTTTTGCAGACAATTTTTTTTCAAATATGCTTCAAAGCATATTAGAAACAAACAGAAAGATATCCCCTTCCATTAAAAAAAAACTGAATGAAACTTATTCTATTTTATAGGTAATAGATAGAAGATTTTGGTTGATACTTGTGGAAGATAACATTTATGACAACTCAAAAAGTCATTTTAGTCACAGTTGGAAAGGCAAAACCAGGTAAATTCTTAACTGCCTTCTCACTACCAGGAATCTAACTTGTGGAAAAAGTTTCTAGGAGGTACCTGGTTGGCTTCCTTTGCGCTTGAGCACCTGGCATGTGGACCCAGGAGGGCAGCAGGGGCTTGCATCTTTTTTCTTTTTCATTTTGGTTTTATTTTTCTTCTTTCTCCCACCCAGTGAGAATTAATCCAGAGAAGTCCTTTGAGCCTATGACTGACTCTAAGAAGGTCCAGAAAGTAGCCAGAGCCAGAAATCTACATTTAATTAGGTAGTGATTACACAACTGTGGTCCATATGGTTAGCACTGATGTGCCAATTGTCTCATGATCTCAGCCTTCTCCACTGTAGGTTCTACTCTCATCAAGATAGTTCTGGATCAGCTTTGGAATCCTTTACTGTTCTTGGCAAGGAGGAGTATAGAACAATTAAGAGCAGGGCCTTGCGTTTAGTAAAAATATGATTCTGTGTGGACTACTACCAACCGTTAGCAGTGAAAAGGGAGAGAGGGAGCAAGGAGCAAGTAGCTTTTGCCTCTTACTTTCTTTGTGCATTTGTTTTAAAAGTTTGTATATTATTTTTTGAATTAAAGAGAAACCGTTTTAAAGAACAGATTGTAAGTTCCTGTGTCAGCCATGGCTGTTCCCAGTCTACTTCCACGTTTCCTGGCTCTGCATCCTTATACACCTTACATCCAAGACAGTAATTATACATCCTGCCTCACTGACTGTTTTTTGCTGTGTTTTGGTTTTGATTTTTGTTTTGTTCAAGTGCTTGGGATTGAACCCACGGCCTCGCCATGCTAGATAAGCACTATAGTACTTGATAGTTCAGTGCCCTTCCTAGCCCTCACTGAATGTTTTGAGAGTATGATAAAGGAGATCACCTAACTAAGCACTTGGTCAA